GTTGTCAAACATAAGGAATATATATTTTTTCAGCTCTTCTAAAGATAAGCCATTGGAGACGTGATATTTCATAGTATTGTATGCTATGAAGCATAACTGGGAGGATATAGTTAAATTATCTATTTTGGTGAACAATTTTATCAATGCCTGTAATTATAATCTGGGGATATAAATAATAATTATGCCATCCTGTGAGCTGATTGAGATAATATTTATTTAAGATTGAACCACCATATGAGGTGAGGGGGCAATAATTCAAAAGATTTTTAAAAACCGTGCACAAATTCCTGATTTATTTAGAGGTAAACTTTGCTTACCAACTACCTTGTTCAATGATAGTTGAGAGTTCCAGTGGTGTTGCAAAAATAATTATAACTTATGCCTTTACATATAATGATGATGATGATGATGATGATGATAATAATATGGACAAATGGCTGTCCATTCTCTTCTTAAAAACTTCCAGTGATGGAGCATTCACAGCTTCTGGAGGCAGGTTGTTTCACTGGTTAATTGTTCTAACTGTCAGGAAGTTTCTCCTTAGTTCTAGGTTGCTTCTCTCCTTGATTACTTTCCATCCATTGTCCTGCCTTCAGGCGCTTTGGAAAATAGCTTGACTCCCTCTTCTTTGTGGCAGATATTGAAATATTGGAACACTCGTCCTTCTTTTCATTAAACTAGACATACCCAATTTCAGCAGCCGTTCCTTATATGCTTTAGCCTCCAGTCCTCTAATCATCTTTGTTGCTCTTTCTAGAGTCTCAACTTTCGACCTTTACAGCATCCCTCTATCATGTGATTGCCACTATAGTTACGATACAATATACTTTATTGATTATTCAATTGAACATATTAAACATAATCATCAATAAGTACAATACAATAACATGAGATAATATACAGTAAAATGAGATAAAATAGCTATTGTGTGATAAAATAGAATAAAATACAGTGGGTAAGAAAGAGTGAGATAAAACAGTATATGGCAAAATAGAAGAAGAAAACTTTATTAATTAAATCAACTGACTGTATCGTATATATAAAATTGATACAAAAATGCAATCGGATAAAAAGAAAACAAAACTTCATAACAGATTGTCACCCCTACACTTATCTCCAATCTGATCAAGGTTGTCCTCTTTCTGTCCTCTTTGAGAAAGCCTTCGAAATTAAGAGTTCAGTCTTATTGATGATATTTAGGTTTGTTCCTTGCAGTAAATATTGGGTGCCCCAATATTTTTTAGTTTTTAAAGAAGTGTCTATATAAGTGGCCCTTTTTGGAGAGTACAATTTCCAGTAAACAAGAATGTGTCCAGTGTCTTCAAAAACTGCTGTTCCCCAAATGCACAATCTTAGAACTCTAGTTGGGTCTCCATGAAACCTCCCATGTCTTACCACTGAGTCCAGTTGTTCAAATCAAGGTCTAGTAAAAGCTCTTCTGAAATGTTGATGTATGTAAGTTGGTAAATATTTTTCTAACTGGAAGACTGATTTGTTTGAGCCTTCAGAGATTTAAGTACCTCAATATCATCTTGGGCAGTCATATCAATAAATCTTTGTTTGAAAGCTTTAGATCTAACTGGACTGCTAATTGTTTGAAAAAATTGGGTGGCCTAAGCACAAAGTTTCTTGTTGTGTAACTGCTCTTTGAAGCACATCCTTAGTAGTCTATTTGGGTCCATGAATAGGATGTTCAGGCAGTAATTAAAAAAATTAATTGCTAAATAGCTTTGTGTAGGGGTTATGCCCAACTCTGCCCTTATTACTGAGGCTGGTGTAAACTTATCTAACCCCAAGATATAATTCAAAAAAGTAGATTGTATCTGTTCCATTAAGGGAGACTTATACATCCCCACAGTTCTGTGCCATATCTGATCATTGGGACTATTTTGCTGTCATATATACTTTTATGATTGGAATTGAAGTTAATTATAGTATCACAGTTAATGTTCTGACCCAGACAGAACAAATTCCTTTAGTCCAATCCAGGGCAGACAGACAACTCAATAGAAATGATTGCAAAACAGATAAATATGTTTATTCAGAGGAAATACTTGCTTTTGCGTTGTTGCTTCTGGATAATACATTTCTGTTCATTTCCATAGGTAAATTGATAATGAATTTTCCCCTCTTCTTCTGCATAAGCATCACATGTTAGCATAGGACCTCCAAGCCATGTGGCTAGGAGACATGAGGCTGGATGAACAAAGGCATTCCAAACTAGGCAGTAGCCAGTATGTCCTGAGAGGTACTCAGAAACTCCTCCCACTGACCCATTAACATGAGATGACTGACTAACTAAACTGCATTTCCCATAATCCATCTCTTAAGGAAACAACACTTAACTCAATATATGCCAGATATTCTAACATACTGATACATGCTCTCTAGCTAGGGTTACATAGAACTATACGATTCAGAACAGTTAATATGCCTCAGAGAGAGAAGAAAGGGGAAAAAAATACTCTCAAGTAATCTATGTAGGTTAACAGTATGTGAGAAAGGTCTTGGGAGATGGGCCAAAGAGATGTTGCCTAGGGAGTAGTCAAATAAACAGCATAGACCACACCTGCATAGTGGGAAGAGCCAGAAGCTCAGAAGGGAGCTTCCCTAAGTAATTAGGGTATAAAGTTGTTGGTGGGAGAATTGTACTTTCAGACTTTTGCAAGATCCTATTAATGTAGCCTTACAATAAAGTAGATTTAGTTTATGATGATGTTTCTTGTCTGGTCTAACTGATATGGCTAATATCAATCTTGCAAGCCTGAAAGTATAATTATCCCACAAACATCTTTACAGCCCATCTAAATTAGGTGGGTGGGTGGGTAGACAGTCAGTCAGTCAGTCAGACAGACAGACAGACAGACAGATATATTCCACAGAACTGAAGTCAGGTGAGAAAAAGCTTTTAACTATAAAATAGTTATTCTAATAACATGATAGAATGAAAATGACCCAGGTCAAATAATTGAAACAAGCACACAAGCTCATACAACATTAAGTAGTCTTTCAAATAATGATGTGCTAATATGCAGGGAAAATGTATCAAATGTATCAATACCATCAATTTGTACTAGTATATCTCTTGAATTCCCTAATCAGCTCAAAGACAGCTGCTAAGTGAATTTTGCCCCATTTTACGAACTTTCTTGCCACAGTTAAGTGAATCACTACAGTTGTTAAGTTAGTAACATGGTTGTTAAGTGAATCTGGCTTCCCCATTGACTTTGCTTGTCAGAAGGTCACAAAAGGGGTCACATGACTCTGACACTGCAACCGTCATAAATATGAGTCAGTTGCCAAGTGTCTGAATTTTGAACACTTGACCATGGGGGATGCTGCATCAATCATAACTGTGAAAAACAGTCATGTCACTTTTTTCAGTGCTGTTGTAACTTCAAGTGGTTGCTAAACAAATGATTGTAAATTGAGGAGTACCTGAATTTTTAAGATTATTTTCAAGTAGATCTGCATATGATAATGTTATTATCTGGATTGGAGCTGTTTAGACCAATTTTTTCCATGTAAAATGAAGTGGAAACTAAAGATTGGAATATTGAGGAGACTTGACAGAAAATCAGAAATGTGCTTCTTAGAGGCAGCAGCCACTGTTAGGAATAGTTATTAGACATCTGGACAGCATCTGTGCTCCTAAATTTTAGAAAGGTTGTGGAAATGGATTTGTTCAGAAAGGAGATTTGGAGTTGAGAGGATATTGGGATCTGGGATCTAGATGTACGTGTCTGTTGTAATAAATAATTTTAACTATCATTGAGGTGATTTTTTGGTTTACGTATTTACATCTTCTTACAACATAACTATAAGGTATAGATCATAATAGAATTTTTCTATTGTCGTCTAGTAATATAAATACAATTTGATCTTGCCATGCTTGAACTAACTAAAGTTTAAACTAATCAAATTTATCCCAGTTTCATGAAACACACTACTTGTAAATAAAGAAGCTATGCTACAGGACAAGTAATTGAGGGCTTGCTGGATATAAGTATCTGCCAAATTCTTTTTTGAAGCTTTTTCCTGTTGTCTGGAAACTATGTTATAAATGTATGACAGATAAATACAAAATCACAAATTCCTAACAGAATTTCAAAATAAGAGAAGAGGATAAAAATATAAAGTAATATCCAATACATCACGTAGTTTAAAAGCACATAAATTTAATAAACTATTATTATTATGAACTATAGTTTAACAAAATTCACTAGGTTAAAATGTAATATAATGCGAAATTTAATGGTAATAAAGTAGAAAATGTAGCTGTTTATTTTTTTATTACTAAAATTATATTAAAAATGAAGTAGTTAAAAATGTCAGAATATGAATATACAAATGCATTGAATTCTAGAATAGATTAACATTCATTTTCTCTGAATATTGTTCACATATAATGCAAGCGTATTTGTTTACTTTTTCAGACTAATTCTAATTAGATTCCAAATGCAAAAATTGCTTCCTACTAGTGTAATTATTCTTACATTCTTATTTGCTTTCTTTAGATTAGTTTATAATGTTAAATTAGGTTACTGATTGTTTGAGTGTTGGTTGTTTTAAACTAATAACGGTACTGATTATTTGTTAATGAATGAATTTTTTAAAAGAGGAACACTATATATATAAAACTAATGTCTTATTAAAAAAGCATTTTAATTCCTGTTAACTATTTTGTTATTGGTATAAAATTATTTTGGCCTGTTTTAAAAGGGGTGGGAGATTAACATGATTGTATTATATTAATCAGCATTCAATTAGGGAGGATGTTATGTTTATATATGTTGATCTTTTTTAAGACACTTCTTTAATGTCTTATGTTTTTTCTTTTTCTTTTTCCTTAAATATTTTGGCATTTTGTATTTTAACTATTTTTGAATAAACTAAATATTATAAAAAGCATGTTGATATGAATGTTGTTTCTGTTTTATGAAATCAAATATTAATGTACTGTTCAACATCTAATCTTTTAACATATTGTGTGTCCCTAGTTATATGCAGCTTCCAAGGACATGTGCAGCAAGGCTTAGTTCTAGAACTAGGAGAAACTGTTCAGATCTTGGAAAAATGTGAAGGTATGATATATTGAAAATATTTCTTCTGGCGTTTATGAACTGCCCCAACTACTTACTTTGCTTTTTCTCTTTATTCAAGTAGTAATAATAATCTGTGATCATAATGGTATCTTGTGGGTGTACTTTTGTAGCCAATGCTACACTAAATACAGTGTAGAATGTAAATTTTATAACCCCTTCCCTTGTTTCTATTCATTTACCATCTTTTGTCTTATAAAGAGGAGATGAATAAGATAAGAGAAATGAATTTCTATGATCACCGAGGTTCATTGTTTTTTATTAGGCATTGGGAAACCAATCATGTTAGAGCTATGCGTTCCCCGAAAGGAGTGCATTTTATATTTTGCAAACCTATGTTTCAATAAATCATTTGAGAACCATGATTATTCAAATGCTTAGTAAATCTAATCTGACCCACTTTCTATAAGAAAGATTGAAGCATTTGTTACTAATCCTGTCAGAAAGGGGTCAGCATATTTATTAACCATCTGTCTAGAAATAGTGGGACTTCATTTTGGGGAGATTAAGGGTGGCTTGTGATGATTTTATCATGATAACCAGGAATATATTTAGATTTCTTAATGAGTTGCATTCTATTACATAGTCCATATTATTTAATACCAGTGACTAATTTCAAAGCTTTCTTGAAACTATTGCAACTACAGTAAAATGTATAATAAATAAAGCTGTCATCATATAACACTACAGGCAATCCACAAGATACGACTGCTAAAGATTGTAAATGTTACTGGGGGATAACCCCAATGTTGATCCCAACCCTTTCCCAAACCTAATCTTGATGCCAACCCCACCCTAAACTCTAATCCCCATCCTGATCCCATCCTATTCCCAACCCTATAAAATTCAATAAAAAAAATTTAAAAAAGATAACGACTGCTATTAAGCCTGCCCATTATGCTCATGTGACGTGGCAGTCATTAGGTGAAACATAATGAACCCGCTATCCCTGCTCTCCCCAATGAATTGCAAGTGGAATGTGGATTGCTTCCTGGGTGGGGGAGGCCATTGGAGACCTAGTACAGGCACAGGCCCCCTGCCCTCATCTCCCAAGGTCATCCCCTCCCCCAAGATGTCCCATGCTCCACTTCCAACACTGTAGATTCCAACAAGTTTTTTCTTACTCTCAATGGCTCTTCCCAGGCCTTAGGCCTGATTCCCACCCACCAGGCCAAACACCCTTCTCCTCATTTATCTTTTAAAGGTCTTCCAGAGCTCTGGAATGAATTTTATTTTTGCACAGCCACGCAGCGTGGTTCTGAAAGTGGCCACCATTTTATCCTGCCATAAAATGGTGGTTGCATTTGGGTCGCTGCCATGTGGCCCAAGATAAACTACTTCATTTTGCTGCCTTAACAAGGCCTGCAGCATTGAGAATCTTCTACAGCACTGGACAGACCACTGTGATGCAGCAAAATGAAGCAGTTTGTCTGGTGGCTGGCATTTTGTCCTCATCCACAAATGGTCGGGACAAATTGGTGGCCGCATTTAGGTTGCTGCTGCACGGCCCTGGACTAAACTACTTCATTTTGATGCCTTACAAAGGTCCCAAAACGTTCGGTATTCAGATATGATAATTAGCATCTTGCTATCTCAAGGAGGAAGTTTTATGCAGCATTCAGAAACTTCTGCTTCACTGTGCAGACTTTCCAATCAAAGGAAGCAAAATGAAGCAATTTCTCTATTGGCTGCCATTTTGTTATATTCACAAATGTGTGGGACAAAATGGAGGTCACATTGCTGGGAACACATGGCCTGCCCTCCTTCCATATGAGGTCTGGCGAATTTCAGAAGGTAAGTGGGATGTGATGGGTATGTGAGGAGGAGGCCCAAATGCTGCAGGGTTCTGGCAGAGTGGGACGGGGAGAGTGGCAGGAGGGAGCTGCAGCAACCCTGTGGTGGGTCATAACAGTGAACAACTGCAAGCCTGTTGCAGCTGTCATAACTTTCAAACGTTATATGTAGCTTTTGGGAGGTCTGTCATAATTTCAAAAGTTCATTAAATGGCTTGTCATACTTTGAGGTTTACCTGTATAATGAAAGGGTTATAATTGTATGTTAGATTATAAATAAAAGGTTAAATATCTAAATTGTATATGACAACTAAGAACATTAAAATAGTGGCCTTTTATCAAGTATTTCAAAATCTACTCTTTTCTTTCCAAGTAGGTAAGTAGCTTTAATATTCCACGTAGTAATTGAGCACTTGTGCTTTTATCCTACAAAGTGATTATGTGCCACTTTGACTCCTAGCAACTACATAGATCAGCTTGAAATATACTTGAGAGAAAATTGTAGCTGTGAATTCAGAGTATGAATTTCAAACTAGGTTAGGATTTGGTATTAATGGTGTTTATGCTGTGGCTAGATGGAAATCTTTTGGATATCTAATTGCCATATAGGAAAGAAAACCAAAGTTGAAAAGATAGAATTACAGTAGGAACATGGAATGTAAGAAGTGAAACATAGTGAAAGATGAAATGAAATGGCTATAAATTTACATCTTAGGCATCAGTGAATTGAGATGGATTGGGATTGAACATATTTATTCAGAAGATCATACTGTTTATTACTCAGGAAAGAAAAAGGATGGAATGGTGTTGCTTTTACAGTTAGAAACATTATAGCAAGAATAATGCTTAGCTACAATGCAATCAATGAATGAATAATATTGGTTAGACTTCATGGACAATTATTTAATATGACAGTCATTCAAGTTTGTGCTCCAACTACTGATGCAAAAGGGACACTTAAACCCCTTTTGCATCAGTAGTTGGAGCACAAACTTGAGTTTTATCATCATTATTTATAATCAGATTTAATTAGAAATTAACAGAGACTGTAAGTATACAATACTGGTGATTGGGGACTGAAATGCCAAAGTTGGAAAATTAAAAGAAGAAAGCATAGTTGGATTGTATGGTTCAAGAAACCGAAATGAAGCAGGAGACTTGATTTAAATTTGCCACTCCAATGATTTCTTGATAGCTATCTTCAAATAAAATATTTTTATCAATGACTTGGAGTTGGGGAACATTTACCAAGTTTACAAATGATACAGAGCTCAAAAGGATAACAAATAGTTTAAAATTGAAATGGAAAATTAAAAACATCTAGACAGGCTTGAGCAATGGCCCAAAATGAATACGATGAATTTAATAGGGAAAATTTCTTATCTGAATTTGATAAGAAAAACAAAAAATAAAATGACTAACAATAGTATAAAGGCCAGATTGTGGAAGGAAATTGTTTTAATCTATTCTCTCCTGATCAAACCCCAGTTTGAATGCCTTGTTCGCTTCTGGGTCTCATATATCAATGGAAAGTGACAAACTGGAGCAATTCAAGGGAAGACTATCAAAAAGATGAGAGTTCTGGAAACTAAATCCTATCAGAAACACAAAGGAGTATGTTACGTTTGCAAAAGAGATAGCTATGGGGAATATGATAACAGTCTTCAAACTGACGTACAGGATTGTCGTAACAGGAAAGAGAATGCAGAGGGTAGAATCAAAAACATTGAGCTAAAACTATAAGGAAGTATGTTTGGGCTAAATGTCAGAACAAACTTTCTGAGAGTACAAATTGTCAGCCAGTGGATCTGGCTGTCATATATTTTTATTGTTGGAGATTTTCAAATCGAGGCTGGATATTATTAGGTGCTTTAAGAGATACTTCAGAAAGCAGAAACTGCCCCCAAATCTGTGATTCTATAAAATATAGGTGGGAGATGTTTCTATTAATGTTCCTATTTCATTAAAAAAAGAAACTCAGACAACACCACCATGTAGTAAATTGATTTTTTAAATTTCCATTTGATTATTCTGAAAGCAGAATTGTTAGATGATCAATTATCAACATAAAAACTAAAAGTCAGAGCTCTAATTAAAGATATTGCCAGAATATCATATGAACCATTTACAATTAATAAAAATAACAGAATTTGTAAATATTAAATCTTTTAATAATATATTTTAATATAATTGAATTTATTTTATTTTAGGTTGGTACAGAGGAATTTCAATAAAAAGACCTAGCATAAAGGTATGTTAAGATGCTGCTTTTAACAAAAACAGTATTGAGTTTGATGCATACTTTCAAATAAATTTACAAAGCCACTGATAAATGTTGACCTGAACTAATAAAACAGTCTTTGTATTGTCGATAAGTCCAACAGAATATTTAGTGTTCTGGTAAGCTCTCTGTAGAGTTATAATAATAATCTCTTATAAAAGGGCAGTCAATCATGAAAATTGAAACAGTCAATAGAGTCGACCACGAGCTTTAGTCGTAATATGTGGCACATTCAACATTCGTTGCTAATGGTAAATATATTAGCTGTCAGTTTTGGTTATGTTTTTACTAGCATGACAAAGGACAACCAGATGCTGGTTTTACCCAATGCTCTTTACTTTAGTAACTATTTTGCAAGCCAAAATATGAAAAATATGTATACCATATAAGTAATCCTTGACTTATGACTGTTTAACAACAATTCAAAAATTACAATGGCCTTAGAAAAATTGACTTAAAACCCAGCCTAGAAGTTATGACTATTGCACTACCTCACATGATCACAATTTGGGTGCTTGGCAATTGTTTTGCATTTACAATGGTTGCAGTGTCTTTGGTCGCAATTTGCAACTTTCTGAGGTCCCAGCTTCTGACAAGCTAGATTCATTTAACAGCCACTTCATTCACCTAATGATCAGGGTAAAAATGGTTGTAAAATTAGGTCTTGTCACATGATTTATTTACAACTGTATCGCTTAATGGCTGAAATTCTGGTTCCAATTGTGGTTGTAAGTCAAGGATTACCTGCAATGATGCACGTTCAGGTTTCAGAAAACTGATAAGACTTGTATGTAATTGAGAATAAATCAATTTCAATCAATCAGATTTTCTAATCTATCAGCACTTACCAAACTCTATACTTAAGTAGGGTTGTTAAACTGCATTTATAAAAACCTTACAAATGTATCACATTTCATTTGGGGGTAATGCAAAGTATAGGAAAACAGAAAGAAGTAATGAGACCCCAAAACATAGATACCGTAGATTAACAAAAAAGAAGAAAAGGGATTCTAAAACTAGTTTCACCAAATGGGCTGATAAATACTAAATTCTGCTGCCCATCAATTGAAGCTTTCATTTAATTCTTCTTGTTAAAATAAATATAATCCATTTTTTTTTGCAGGGAATCTTTCCTGCAAATTACATTCATTTGAAAAAGGCACTTGTCAGTAACAGAGGGTAAGTATGGACTTCCATTATCAAGAAATTAATATATCTGAAAAATAGATAGGAATCCATTAACTTTATTTAATATAATCTTAATTTAAACTACTTTTGCATGTAATATTTAATTCAGTTGTTTAAAGCTGAAATGCTGATATTCTACAAAATTATGTGTTCTAGCAAATAATTCCAAGAAAAAATTACATCCAATTTCTTCTCTATTTTTTTTTTTTTTTTTTGCTAAACATAAGGAGCATAGTTAAAAAAATGTTTTCTTAAGGATCACTGATTAGTCCTTTGTCATAAGAATGATACCTTGTCAGGAAATTTGACAGGCATTTTTCTTTGCAGCTATGTGATATACCTATGAGACTAAAATAGATAACCCATGTTTTAGAGATATTTCCTTATTTGATTCCTCAGTGACAGTGCTTCTAATGTATTGCGTTCGCTGTAAAAGTTAGAAATACATTCGGATATTATCTGCCTTGAAAATAGCCCATGCCAGTCCAGTCAAATATCAGCACAGGATGTGTTTTATGACATTTTATATGGCATCATAAATTGCTTTATGATAATTTTAATGTCATTAGACGTTTTATAAAATTTATCAAATTTCAGTTCTGTGAGAGTCATGGCTCCTGGATTTTGGATTCATTGTATAAATTAGCCCATTTGAGATATTTTGGTTCAAAAGGTTTTGCCATAGTTTGCACTGTTTCACCCATTTAAAGGCTATAGGAGTAAGAGTTTTAATAATATATATATAGATTAACCAGAATATCAATTACTGTTTGTCAGCCCCACTGGGCAGAGCAGACCAGAAAATCAACTTCAAAAGAGTACTGAAATTACTTCTATTGAGATTTATTGAGATTTACAGTCCTGTAAATCTGATATTTGGACTGTTGCGAGACACTCTACATAGGGCTACCCTTGAAAAATATTTGGAAGCTACAATTAGCCAGAACACAGCCGCACAGATAGGTCTTGGGGCCCAGGATGGTCCATGCCACACTGCTGTTTGGAAAGCTGCACTGGTTGCCACTTTGCTTCCGGATCCAATTCAAGATGTTAGTTATCATCTTTAAAGTCCTTCATGGCATGGATCCAGCTTATGTGAAAAACCACCTCCTCCCATAGGATTGGCAGACTTCTGCAAGTCTGAAAATGTCTCCCCCTCCCCCTTTATCTGCAAGATAACTAGAAAGAGTCAGGTCTGAAACATTTGCTCAAGTTACATTTCTGTTTTGGACTCAGATTTCATTTAGCTCATTGTTTCCTTGGTTGTTGCTCTCCTTCTTTTTCTCAAGGTTATTCTTGCATCCCATTACACAATTCCAGTAAAAAGATAGAATTAAAATTGTCATAAAATAAAATTTTGTACAATGAAACGATACATATAAGGCAGAAGATTATTTGAGATTGAACATTCCACTATATGAAGTAAGTGTTGTGTATTGCGGGATGTTTATTATATATAAATGAATACATAGTTTCAAGGGAAGATGGAAATAAATGATTCCGCAGTCCTTCTTTTTATGACATTTTCACTGGTGTTTATACATTTTACAGGCAATATGAAACAGTTGTTCCACTTGAAGATTGTGTTATTACTGAAGTTACAGCAACTCTCCAGGAATGGGCTATGCTCTGGAAGCAGTTATATGTGGTATGTAAGCAAAAGCATGTAGCTCACAGGGGTATAATAGTTATATAGTGTGATCGAAGATGATGATAATAAGTATGGAACTTAGAGACCATCTGACACTTTCAAAGTCTAGTTCCTGAGAATCCAGAAATGGTCCAACCTGAATAGATCCAGGAGTAGCCCATTATGCTTGATTCCCTGAATGGTTTAAGAAAACAAAACAGGATTTTTCCATAAATTCATGACCCTATGGTGATTTTTTTATACTGAAAAGGTAACTATTATTTAAATGATTAGTAATACAGTAAAGTATTAAAAATAAATAGTCCATTGTAACTTTTCATTGTGCCTTATTTTATAATTATAGCTAAGATAGGTCAATGAGTCTCACCTTTTTACTTAAGGGTGAACATTGTATAGCACACTGTTATTAGAGTAGATTATTTCTAGATTACAGGTAATCCTCGATTTATGACCACGTTGAGCCCAAAAGTGAGACATTTGTTAAGTGTCCCATTTTGTGATGCTTCATGCCACAATAGTTAAATGAATCACTATAGTTGTTAAGTTAATAACATACTGTTAAGTGAATCTGGCTTCCTTGTTGACTTTGCTTGTCAGAGGTCACAAAAGGTAATCAAATGACCTCAGGACACTGCAACCATCATAAATATGAATCAGCTGCCAAGCATCTGAATTTTGATCACATGTTAATGGAGATGCTGCAACAGTCGTAAATGTGAAAAATGGTCATAAATCACTTTTTTCAGTGCTATTGTAACTTTGAATGGTCACTAAATGAACTGTTTTAAGTCATGGACTACCTGTATAATGTTGTAAACAAAACGTAGGAGCAGATAAAAGATGTGCTGAACTTATATTTTCTCAAGCTATGGAAGGCAAAAATGTCTTATACCAGCCAAGCTGGGGTACAGAAAAATATCTTTCCAAATCAATGTACAGTATATGATATATTAATAAGTACTTGTTTATGAACACAAATGAAAAAGAGACCAAACCAAAAGTAAATAATTAATATAGATAGTCCTTGTTTAGCAACTACAATTGAGACCAGCAATTCATTCGCTTAATGATACGATCACTAGTTGGAAAATCATGTTACCACAACTTGCTTATGATTTTACTTCAGCTTCCCTTTCACCACTTCTCTGGAATGCTCACCCCTAGTACAGGGATAATTAGCAAGAAGGGAATTAATATTTGTATTTACTGTCAGAGTATGCACAGCCTTATTGCTCAAGATAACCCAGGAGTAAACACAGTAAACAGTGATCTATAATAAATGGTGGTTTATCTTACACTATCTACAATATCCTACACCAGGAACAATATACATACACGAACTAATATAGCAAAATCCAACAAACCACAGTTACAGCAGGAAACGGAAGAAGAAAGAAGACATCATCAGAGCCTTTCCTTTATACAAAGATTCTTAAAGAGACACAGACCTTGCTGAGTCATTCCCATTATTACATCTTACATCTTACATTACATAAGCTGGTTAGCTGTTAAATCAATACCTTGATGTTTACATTCTTCCTAGAGGAAGTGATTACAAGAATGTAAACAGGCACACAATGGAGAATATACATTGAAAGGAGTGTGTGAGCAGCTGCTGTTTCCCTAGCCCAGTTTCCCCATCACTCCAACCCTCCAGCTGCTTGGAGGAAAACAAAAGCTGAAGGTGTGAAAGTGATTAAAGTCTTGTCAGTTACAGCAGCAGCTGCAAGCTGACTAATGACAATCACAGAGCTGCACTTATTAACTTGCAGTTGGGATCTTTTGTAAAAGCACTGTGCTGTGGAGAAAAGCAGCACAGGAAGAAAATGCTTGTTTAAATGATCTCTCCACTCTACGAGTTGGAAAATTGGTCAAGCACAACACACTTATTAATTTCTGTTTTTGGTGGTTTGATATACATCATTTTCAATCAATCAATCAGAATAGAGCTGAAAGGGAGACTCTGTACCATTTCAGATAGGTGGTTGTCCAGTCTCTTCTTAAAAATCTCCAGTGAGGAAGCACCCACAACTTCTGAAGGCAAGCTGCTCCAATGGTTAATTATCCTCACTGTTAGGAAGTTTCTCCTTAATTCACTGAGTTATTTTTGATTTTTATCTTATATTAGTAAAGAAGAAAAAACATAATGAATAGTGATAATACAGTGAAAAAAGTTGAATATATAACAATCAAATAAATACTATAACAATAATGAACAAAAAGAAAAGTTATAAATATCTATAAGTAATTAATTTAAACTTATAGCAACACAATGCTTTATATTCTTATAATGCATAGAATTTTTAAAGAATAGTTATCAAATATATGTCCTAGATCCATTCCTTAAAATCAGGAGAGCAATTTTCTTTCCAATCTTATAAAATTATTCTATTTCTAGCCCAAGCTGGATCAAGCCAGAGTTCTTCATAAGATACCAAATTTTAGGAATATAATTCAACATCATGTTGAGATCCTTAACAATACTTCCCAAAATCACATTATCATAGGTATTGACCTGAAAGCAAAAGAAAGCATAACGGAACAAGATCAAATCATGTGAGTTAAAGAATCTTTAAATCATTATTAAGGGCACCAAAATCAGAGAAGATGGAGTAATAGATGGACTATATGTAGATCTAACAAAACTAGATCCTTATTTAGTGATTACCTTAGTTATTACCTTATAAATAAAATGACAATAAATGGTAATAAATAAGAAACACGTCAGTTTAATGTGAAACTTGTGAAAAAGACAGTTGAAGAAAACAAAGGGATTACTAGAGCAAAATGCAAGCTTATAAATACAAGAAGGTTTTGGCACTAAAACATGAAGATGGCTCTGTATGTAGAACAAGACAGGAAATGTTAGAAATAATTGGAAAATTCTATTCAGAGCTATACAGAGATCAAGATCACTCAAAAGTAACAACACCCGCAAAAGAGGAAATATCAGATATCCTAGTGGAGGAAGTATCAAGTGCCATAAAATCAATGAAAAATGGCAAAGCTTCAGGAAGTGACTGTATTACAGTTGAAATGCTGAAAGCTGGTGGTCACAGTTTACCCCAGATAACTAGCAAAACTTTACTTGAGATGTCTCAGAGAAGAAAAAATACCTGATGCACGGAAAAATGCTGAAGTGATTCTTATGCACAGGAAAGGGGCCCAAGGTGATTTAAAGAACTATTGCCTAATTACAAGATTTTTCACCAAGATAATAGCAAAAAGAATATTGAGAACATTAAATGATGCACAGCCAAAGGAGCAGGCAGAGTTCAGAAGTGGTTACAGCATAATGGATCACATCAGGGTTGTTCATTGAAAGGCACAACAGTACACCATGCCTCAGTTTATGGCTTTTATTGACTACAAAAAGGTGTTTGATTCAGTATTCCAGGAAGCAATAATTAAGGTATTGCTCAACCAAGTCATAGACACTGCTTACATAAACTTACTACAATCAATATATGAAAAAAAAACCAATGGCAACAATTTGCCTTAATGATCTTAAAGTGGAAATCAACATAGAAGAAGGTGTACAACAGGGCCGATACAATATCACCTATCCTTTTCTCAGCCTGCCTTGAAGAAGTATTTCGCAAACTAGACTGGGCAAAAGATGGAATAAAAATCAATGGTGCCTATTTAAATCACTTAAGATTTGCAGATGATGATGTTCTCTTCTCACAAGACTCAGAAGAACCACAAAGATACGTGCAAGAGCTACACAAAGCAGGCGAACCATTCGGCTTAAAAATAAACCTGTCAAAGAGTCAGGTTATGTTTCATAAATTCACCAAAGAAAGAAAATTATATCTGGAGAAGAACTAGATGTAGTAGACCACTAAATATACTTTGGCCAACAAATCTCAGTGGAGATTTGTAAAGGAAATTGAACGGCGTGTTAAATGTCGTTGGCAGGCATTCGGCAAGTTAAGCATAATTTTCAAGAACAACCTCCCCTATGCCAGAAGAGAAAGGTTTTCCATCAGTGGGTGCTACCTGCTCTAACATATGCTGGTGAAACATAGACCATAACCTCGCAATCGGTATAAAAGCTGCAAGTGACGCAAAGATCCATGGAAAGATACATGCTCGGCATTACAAGACAAGATAGAAGGACCTGCACATGGATTAGAGAACAAACAAATGTGTACAATATCATCAAGACAGTGAAGGAATTGAAATGAAAATGGGCTGGTCACATAGCAAGAAGAACCAATAGCAGGTGGACCAAGGCAGTCATTGAATGGGTCCCACTTGATAAAAAGTATCCATGAAAGAAACCTAAAAACAAGATGGATTGACAACATCAGCAAGTATTGCAGGCCCAATTGGCAAAAGAAAGCTCAGGACCGTATTGGTTGGAAACAGGTGGAAGAGGTTTTCATCCTGCAGTGGATAGACAATGGCTAGAATGATGATGATGATAAAACAGTAATATAATCATTTTCTGACCAATGCATGCACTTATGGCCAAATTTCTACAACTAACAAATATCCATGCCGGAATGAGAGTAATGCTTTATCTAAATGAGATGGCAGCAACCAGTGGTCTTTGCAGCAATTTTGTTAGAGAATTTTAATTTCTCTGTTGGTAAAAATAAATCAGAAGCTTTCACAGTTGACTGCACTTAACTGATTCATATAACCTCTTTATATTCATATCAAAATATTTACAATACCATATATTCTTCTTTACAGCAACATAGCACAATAAAGACTTCTTACAGAGAGATACAGAGACAGACCTGAGACTGAATAAAAAAAAATCTAGCTCCTAACTCAATACCTTTTTTGCACAGACTCAGTAGCAATTTTCTCACATTGGCTGACTGAGTTATCACATGACTCTTCCTGCTCATGAATATTCCAACACTCCTCCCTTCATGACAGGAAGAGACATCAGACCTATTGACTTAATACATTCTCCATAGTGAACACCACCCAATGGTTTAGTCATCATGTCTGCCAAATTATCCTCAGAAGAACAATGA